TCTTGAGAATTTTTCTGTTTTCAGCCCCTCCTTATTTGTAAAAATTTACTTTTTCAACCCTTTATTAAAAAACTTTCCGGTTTGGTCCTTAAATCAATTTTCTTGACATTTTAATACCAAAAATTATTGAAATAAGTATTTTCCAGCATATTTTTCATAGAAAACAGCTTAAGTCCCTGAATTTCAGTTGTTCTCGGTTATAACCTTTCTTTTTCGAAAGTTTGACAATCTTGGCCCAAATTGAAAAAAATTTGCAACTTTGGTCCTTTTTAAATTTAAAAAGCATTTTAAACCTTTGAAAAGGACTTGGATCACTTATAGTCCACTGTTTTATAGAAAAACACAGTTTTGGCCCTCCAAAACAGAAAATTTCGCATAATGGGCCTCATTGGGCCGAAAATGTCATTTTTTAGCCCATTAAGCTTGAAATTTATGTTTTTAATCCTCTAAATGAGTATATTTCCAAAAATTGTTTTATTGAAACTGTTTTGACATAGTTCAACCATCAGAATTCGTGATTTGTCAATTTAGGCCCTTAAAGTTTGTATTTTTCGCATTTTAAGTCCAAAAATGGTATTTTTAGCCCAAAGAAATTGTTACTAAACCATTTAGCCATTTTTCTAGAAATACTTTGTATGTAGAAATATATTTGATGCTAGAGTCTTTTAACATAAGGTATATCTCGGTTTTGAGGGGTTTTATGGCTAGATCCAACATTATAACACACAAAAGCACATATATAAGCATGGAATCATACAAAGCATACAAAACACATATAGATCTACACTTTCACTTGCATTCCCCCCCCCCCCCCAAAAAAAAAAACTTATGAAAACCGAAAATAGGGGGTATGAAGCTCACCTTGTTTGAAGCTTTCGGTTTTTGGAAGAAAAGATGGAAGAAAGTTTGGTGATTTTCGGCCTTAGCACCCCTTGATGAAGATCTCGGCCTTGAGGTGTTTCTAAGGTACAAGATCATGATTTCTCATGAGTTAAGAAGAGATATTTGATAGATCAAGGAAACTAGATCATAGAATTAAGTATAACCTTACCTTGGATGGTGATTTTTGTGAAAAATCTCCTTGGAATGCACTTAAATCTCGAAAATTTTAGGAGAGGGAGGAAGGAATGCTCTTCAAGACTTAGAGAGGTTTGGAATGAATTTTGGTGAGTGTAGGAGGGTGTTCGGCCGAGAATGAGAGAGAGGAGAGAAAAGAAGTGATTTTGAAGTGATATGTGCATGGAAGAATGAGAAATAATGCATGGATGTCCAATGGATAAAAATGAGGTGGCAATGATGAAGTCAACTCTCCTCTTGGGCTTGATTTGGGCCGAGAATGATGGGGGAGAAGAGGATGTTTGGGCCTTAAATACTTAAGCCCAATTTTCATGGTTAAGTTGAGTGATTTTTGGTCCAAGTAAATTTAAAGGTGATTTTTATGACTTGTTAGGGTCAAATTAGGCTAATTATGGTTCATAGTCATTAATTTATTTCATTCTAGTCCCAATGTGGTCCAAAATGTTGAAATAAATTAGTGTGGGTCCAATTAGAGCCCAATTAAGAGTTCTAAACCCAAGATAGTCAAATTGGAAGTTTATTGGTCCATCAGGCCCAATAAGGAAGTTCTAGTCCAAACTGGACCTAAATAAGAACTTCTAGGGTTTCCAATTGCTTGTTGGCTATTTGTAATGCTTGTATGGTGTATTTGATTGAAATTCTGTTGTCACAATAATAGGTGTTACGCATGTTCTTAAACTTTTGATTCACTTTAGCTTGAGTGTATAGTTTACAAGACACAAAATTTCCAGTTGTGACAGCAAAAAATATGCACAAAATAAATAAATAAAAATTATATGTTTACTTATCAAACCCGTGTACTAAACACGTTAATTATAACAAAATCTTAAACACAAAGGTTTAAACTGTAAATTTATTTGAAATTAAAATTGAAACTTAAAATTTAAAATTTGAAACTAATAGTCTTAATGGTAGGTTTAATTTATTGAAACTAAATTAATGATATATTGGAAATGAGAAATGAAGTAAATGACAAGTGGAAAATAAATATATTTCAAAATTATGACAAAATTACATTTAACCAATTGAATAAGAGAATGACATGTGTCAAAATCATTCTTATTTATTATGGTCTATATATATATATATATATATATAGTAGGCAAATTCCCGCGCGTTGCGCGAGAATAGAATTATATAGTTAAAATAATAACTTTTACCAAATTATTATTTAATATTTCTACTTTAAAACAAAATGTTAGTAGTAAAGAAAACATATAGTTAACATATTAGTTTTATTAAACATTATAGTTTAAATTTTAAGTCATTGTGATATATACAATTATTTGATAATCTTACAAAACCGTTTAAAATTGTGTAAATTATATATCAAATGAATGATAATATAACGGGTAACAAAACGTATGAACAAAAATATGAACTGCAACTTTTAATAACATAAAAATAGAAAGTCATTTATTATAACATTTGTATTAAAAAATATATATATATACAATGAATAATAAAAAATATAAAAAATAAACACTATAACTTTTAATAACATAAAAACACTAAAAAATCTATTGTAATATTTATATTAACTCTTCATATTTAAATCACAAATATCTTCAAATACATTAATGTTTTTAATAAGCAAAACTTTACAACCTTATAAAAGAAAGGAAAATAAAAAGTTATTAGTGATTACTAATTAATAATCATAAATTAAAAACTCTTGAGTTGTAACTAGTAAATATATATAAATTATAAAACTCTTGAGTTGTAGTGTGAGTTTCAAATGAATGTGGTACTTGGAAATGTATATTTATTATTATTATTATTATTATTATTATTATTATTATTATTATATTCATCTAAATAATTGATTTTGATACATTCAATTATTAGATATAAATATATTTAATTATAAATTTATAACATACATAGGTGCATATACATGTTAAATAAATCACATATAATATATATATTTTTGTAAATGTCATATGTAATTCTTATCGTAGTAATATGGATAAATTACTTTCATATTAAGAAAATATCATGATAAGTCTATTATAATTACATATCAAAGGTTCAAAATTATATTATCTTTTAAATATTGTTTTATAAATATGTTGTGTAGGATAACCCAACCAAAAAATAATACAAATAAACATAATTAAAATAGAAAAACTATAATCAAATAATTAAGAGTATTGAGTGGTTGAATATATAAATAAAGATGTTACATAAACATACATTTAAATCAAAAGAAAAAACTAACATTTGTCAATTTTTCTCAAAAAAAAAAACCTATATCAATTTTATGAATCTTCTTTCTTCATTTAACATCATTCAACCATAGAAACTTGATAACAATTCTTCACTAACCTGCAATCAAAATATATTTTTTTTGAAAAATAAGAATCAAAAAGATATTCGAAGCAAAACATTGATGTTTGGAGAGTCATATTCAAGATTGAGTAATACACACAAATCACATATAAATATTAAATGAGAAACTAAATATAAAGAAAGAATAGTAAACCTTCATTTGTTTTGGTTGAAAGAAAAAATCATATTACAATTACCATCGACGCGACATAACCCATTTCTTCAAATCATCATATTTGGATTGTGAATGCTTCAACTATATGAAAACTTTTGAATCACAATATCTTCAAATCCTTCTTACATGTAAGATTTTCTATAACACAAAAGACACAAAAGATTGGCCTTTTATAGTAAAATTTTCACTAAATGCTAGTTAAACGTAATATAAGTTATAAAACATTCGAGTGTTAAATCATAATTAAGAAAACTTTTGAGTTGCATTAGTTAAAAAATGGGGTTTCAAATGCATGAGATTCAAGAAAAATTGCTAGCTTTATAAGTATGTATGATGTATGATATATATATATATATATATATATATATATATATATATGTGTGTGTGTGTGTGTGTGTGTGTGTATGTATGTATAAAAAAACTAAATATACCATATCAACATCCTTTAAAACCTTCAAGTCTCTGTCACCAAAAACAGTGATAGAGAAGTCCTTGAAAACTTTATATTTTCCAATTTCCTTCAAATTATTCTATTCAAGTGACAAAGTCTGTAATATAAAAAACAGAAATGATTATATAATAAAATGTAAATATTTAATAAAAATATTATTAATGATTATCAAAATATGAAAAGAAAAACATAAAATAAAATATTACAGTATCAACATTCATGAAAAATCTGAGTGGAGAATTGACAACATCTTTAAATTTCTCTTCATGATTTAGTATACGAGACCATGAATCAAGAACATATACATGCAAATAGGTTTTTTATAAAGACTTTCATAATTAGCTCTAAAACACATAAGATATGATTCCATAAGCAATAATATATCCTTGTATATATTTATTTAAATGTTATCATAAATATAAAATTATAATTAAATAAATTACACTAGACTTCCTTGAAGACTGAAAAACCATTGACAAACAAAATTTTCTACTTGTGTCAAACTTGGTTTAAAATCAATCACCCTTTTCCTTAAAAGGTGACTTATAAACATAAGAAAATGTCATTTCTCTCTTTCCTTTGACATCTACTTCTGATGATCCTTCTTCATTTATATCTTTAGGTTTGCCAAACTTTGCTTTTGATGGAAAATTTTCATTTATCAGTCTAGTTTGGTTGGAAATTGGTTTTGATGATACTTCTAATGTACCCAAAGGGGGTGCAAAAGAAACTAGACTAGCATCAATAACATCAACATTTGGAACAACACACTGTGACCCACCACTTGGTTTTCCCAAATTTCCCAAATAAACTCTATCCTTAATCTGTTTTATTTGTCATCCGTTCAGGTTAACTTCGACTTTGAGATGCCTTCTTGGAACCTTGAGAACTTTGACTAAATCCACAAGTAAAACTTGGACCAGAAAACTTCTCAACTTTCCCTTCTGCTTTGTCCTTTTTCAATGATTAAGTCTCATTTGAATCCTTCCATTGTATAATTTGTAAGTCTTCTTTAGCAGTTTCTACCCAAAAAAATTATAAACATCATATATGAATAAACAATAAATATAAAAACAATCATATATGAATAAACAATAATTATAAACTAATTACCTCCATCTTTATTTTTATTTGAACAATCTTTAATTTCTTCCCCTAAATTCAAATCAAATTCAACACCTTCACCTTGAACCACACGTTCTCCATCCTTCTTTGCTTTAGAAATTTCAACTAACACTTCTGCAAAACCTTTTAATAAACTTGGATGAATTATTCATCTTTTTTTTCTTTTCTACAATAACTTTATCAACAGTATGATCTGAAATTACTTCTTTGTTATGATCATCCTCACCCAAACTTACAGTCCATAAATTATTAAAATCATAAGTGAATAATCAATATAAAATATTTATATATATTACATATAAAAAAATACATAAATAAATACTTACCAATATCAAATTCATTTTTCTCAAAACCAATCAAATTGTCATTCACATCATCTTCAAGTTGTTTCTGATTTATACAACAATCAACCAACTTTTCAGTACCTATAAAATTAAAATATAAAAAATTAAACCGTGTATGATTAAACTATATATAATAAAAACATATACTTACCTTGATCCGAAGGTTTAAGAAAACTTTCAACAACTGGATCGCACATGAATTGACTAAATGATACACCTTTTTGGCTATCAATTAGAACAACACTCTTAGTAACATTTTCGATAAAAAAATTTATATTCATGGCCTCTTCTCCATTGCATCCACTTCCATTTCATTGTTCATCATCTTCGTTATCTTTCTCATTCAACAAATCATTATTTTTACCAATATCATCCTAATTTGCATGATCATTAACATCAGCTTTACCTTCAAAATAATTTTTACTAATATTGTCCTCATATGGACCATTTCAATCCCCTTGAGCACCACTACATTTCCCTTGATCATCATCTTCAACACTTTCATGATCATTTAGAAAATCATTCCCATAATCTTCATCTCGATTTACTTCTGTGATTTTTTCATCATTATTAACTTGACCAAAAGCAGGTGTCAATATTGGTTCTTTACTTTGTTGTGAAACATAATGGAAATCAAAACTTTATGTGCTTAAGTCTTGAACAAAAAATAATAATTTCCAATTTTTAAAATTTTGACTTTGAGGAAACTTCAACACTCCCCCATCTATCTTTACAACAAGATCCTTTTTCAAATCCTCCATCTTTTGATACATATATGAAAATTTACTTTCATACACCTAACATAAGAAAAAGATACTTAAAAATAAAATACTTAATCATAAAAAGTCATAATGAATAAAGTAATAAAATAATAAATGAAAAAACTATAAAATTACCTCCATAACACTAACTTTATTAACATCAAACTCTTCTTCATCCTCATCACCATCAAATTCATCCTCATTACCACCATACTCCTCTTCATTATACTCATATTCTTGACATTCTTCTTCAACAGATGGTTCATTAGCATCTTCATATCCAAATCCCCCATTCTCTTGTAAAATATCCTCAAGAAACCTTATCGTCTCAGACGTCCAATAAAAAATAGTTTGATGTTTACGCGTGACTTGAAAATTATCAAACTTGAAACTTTCCACATACAACAAAAACAGAAAACATCTATACCAAATAAGTTAACTTTCTGAAAAGATTTACTTATATAGTTTAATATATCATTTATCATAATATATATGAATTATCATATATGGTTATGATGTGTAATATATAATTAAAAAAAATTAGACTATATAATCATATATGATTATACAATCGTATATGATTTATACAAATCAAATATATCATTAATCATAATATATATGAATAATCATATATGATTATTCTATATGATATATAATTAATCATATATAATTATACAATCATATATTCTTAAAAATAAAAACAAATATATTTTTACAACTAAAAAGAAGATTTAATATTAAAAATTAGCTCACGTACCATAAGGTGTTGGTGATCGATAAAAGAAAGATGATTCTTTCTCTGGGTTGTAAACCTGTTTCATCCTTACCAAACAATCAACAATGAAATCGCACCAGTCAATGCTACTTAAATCAATATTTCTTCTGATTAAATACAACGGATTCAGATTACATTTACCCATGCTTGTAGACTCATAGAATATATTAATAAAAAGAACCAAAAAATTGATTCTAAAGTTATCATCGGCTGCACTAGTTCGAACAAATTCATTCTTTAGATGTTTCAATCTCAATTTATCAATATTTTCATAATGTTTCTTCAATTCAAACATACAACTCTCTTCACTATTCTCGGCAATATAGTCCATGTTTGAAAGTAATGAGCCACCGGATGGTAATCCTAAAATCTCATGAATAGATTTACTATCTACACCAACTTGACAATTCTCAAACTCCACCTTCAAAGTTTCAAAATTGATATGATCAAGAACATAATAAGCAATCTTTAATGGTACGTCAATCATCTTCATCCGTAACAAACTCACAAATCCCATAACCCTAATACACTCCTTTTGTTCTCTACTTAGACCTTGAATAACACCCAACAATGACCTGGGTGAACATATGTTCTTCAATGAAGGAAATTCTTTTATAACAACAACTTTTTTCTCTTTCTTCACAACTTTAGCTTCTCTCTTTGGTTTCTTTGATGATCCAAAACAACTCTGAAAATCAGAATCATCTTCATCAGATAGTTAACGTTTCTTATTTACAGTTTTGACATTCAAAAAAACAAATTTCTTTCCCTTAATAGTCAGGTTTGCTTTTGGTTGTTCAATAACTGTCTTTTTGGATTTCTTTGACCGTGTTTACACCACCTCCTTTGGAAGATGATCGTGTCTGACTTGAGCTCTCTAATTTAGCTTTCTTAAATACAATTTTTATTATAAAAATAGTGTTAGTAAAAAAGAAAACATAATACATATAGTTAGTTACAATGAAGAAACATAATCACTTATGATTGCAAAAACATACCTTTATCATTTTTAACCTTGGAATTTTTCTCTAAAATACCTTCACTTTCCTTCTCATAAAAAGAAGCATTTACTACACAAAAAATTAACATAATTATTAGTTAATACAGAACAAAAATGCATATGACTAATAAACTAAAATTTTAAATCACACAAACACTAATGATTAAAAAAACATACCTTTATCATTACTATTTACTAATGATTATAAACAAACATATAAAACCATTTATGATTAGAACTAGAAATAAACAAATAACTAAAGGTTATGTTCAATCCATTGAAAAATCATAAAACCAGTTATGATTAAAACAAATACCTTTAACATTTCTTCTCTTTTATATTTTTTCTTTAACTTGGCCAGAAAGATCTTCATATTCACGTTTGATACATAGAAATACAAAATCACAAAATATGATAATCAAATATGAATAAAAAAATAATAGAGAAAAACGCGATAAGAAATATCGCAAAAACCTTTTTGTACATCGATTTTTTGAACTATACCTTTGGAAATAACACCACTTCTACCGCCTTCGAGATTTTTTTGACTTTTGAACTTTTTTCGAACATAATTTCTTTTAAAATCCTTATCTGTGATAATATAAACTACTAAGATTAAAACCCACCACAACAAAACATATATATATATATATATATATATATATATATATATATATATATATATATATATATATATATATATATATATATATAACTGATGAACTGTAACCGAAAAAAATCATAAATATAAATTAAAAATGATGAAAAAACTACTGAATCAAAACAAAAATCATTATTATCAATATAAAACTACAGTTAACTAATTAAAACAAACATGCATTATCAATAAAATGAAAAATTACTCGCATTCTAACCTTTCATTTCGATTAACGAAGATGTAACTTTGTTTAAAACTTCTCCTGAAAATATTTGCTGATTTTTCAAACTTAATTTGCACAACGAACAAACGAAAACTAGGAAAATATGCGATAAAGAAAGAAAAATATGGTTTTCGTGAGAGTTTCTAAGTGAGATTTTGATAGAGAATGAAAATAAGAGTATAGGCGGTTAGAATACCATAGCCTCTACAAAACTGATATGATTTTTTGTAAAATTACAATACTAGCCCTACAATAGTTACAAACGATATTAATTTGAAAAGTTACCAATGTATTTACAATTATGTCATCGCCACATTTTACAAATAAAGATCGTAACAACAAAGACTATCCACCTATCTTACAATTTCTATTTTTTTATTAATCGCAAAGGAACCAACATCTCTCTCTCTCTCTCTCTCTCTATATATATATATATATATATATATATATATATATATATATATATATATATATATATATATATATATATATATATTGTGTCTTAAAATATAAAGTTTCTTTGGCTGTTGTTTCCACAAAACATGAGTGGCTTTTTACATTATTCATTGAACTTGACAATGATACATAGATCTTGTTTGGATGTTGTGTGTTTGACTATGTGTGGATAATGTAGAACTTAAGGAATGCAGCATTTTTTTGATACTCGGAAGAGAGAATTGGTATTATATGCTTGATAGTATAGTCTTCAGTTCTTTCTCTTGGTCAGTGCATACAAATCAAAAATTGTATCGTTTCACACAATTCAATTTTGGCTATTAATGATTTGTATTATTTTTTTATTTCCTAGCTTTTTCTTAGTTTTATAAAATTTAGCCATTCAAAAAATATATATTTATAATGTTTCTAACCCAATTAAATTAGCAACTGTCAAACGATTCTTATTCTAATATAGTTATTTGATTGATTGATAATCGAAAACCTATAATTGTGGCGGTATGATTTGATTCATAACAAATTTTAATGCTTTGTTGTAATTATTAGTAACAGAAACATATAACCCCTATCAATTATCTAAAAAAGTATATTTTAATTTGTTTTGAAGTAATGAAATTCTAATGCGTCTTATTTTCCTAAATTTAAACGAATAAATATAAATATACAATAATAAAAGCAGATCTAAACTGAAAATCAAAGACAAATCCAAATACTATTATTTTAAGAAAAAGGGAAAAGGTTTTCAACATGTAGTTTCCTGGACATATCATGCTTGTTACGTACATATATCAATATCAGTTGTTTCTGCACTTAAATAATCCCACATGCTGCTACGTCGGTAAAAACAACAAGTTCAAGTTGCTTATTATTATATTTTAAATAGAATATGGGTTTAAATCTTTTGAGAATTTGAGTATCATAGTTGTTACGAACTAAACAAATCTTATCATACAAATATAAGATGTAAATAAGTTATTAGTAATTCCATGTAGAACGAAGATGTTCGAAGTTACTTAATTTTCTCATATCAATATCCTTTTATTTATTTAATCCGTCAGGTTTTTAAATACTCGTAATTTAATCAACGCAAGAGATTGTGACTACAAAAGTTAAAAGAAAAAACAAGACAAAAGACAAGCCCACAGTAGTTATAAAAGAAAAGTCATATTTCCATGTAAAAGGCATTTATTATAAGCTTCATTATAAAATGCTAATCGACTAGTTAAGATAATTTTTCAATAAAATTGATGATCATACAAAAAATGTTATAGGACCCGGTTAACTCAATTAAATAACCCGGTTTTGAACCGGGACTTAAAGTCAGCGAGTCCTATGTGAAAAAGAAATAAAACCGGAACATATAACGGGATTATAATGCATAAAGTTGGATCATATATAAAGATTAGGACCTAGTTCTACCATACGAAACCGGGTCATATAAGGATATAAGAACCCGGTTCCAATCCTCAAATCGGGCCATATAAGGATTAAATATGCACCGGTTTCATTCAAATAACCGGGTCTTCTCGGTCTTTCAAAAAAACAATTATAATCACAACATCCAACGTATAATTACAAGAAAGTGAGTTAAGTAAAACAAAGCATAGTTATAAGAATTAAATTGGCAACAATATTATTCAAATAACCATGATAAAGAGAACACTTGATAAAAAGTACAAACTAATACTTGCATCCAAAGCACATATTCAAAACAAAACAAAATTTATACATTGATGAACAAATTATATTAATATAAACATGCTAAATAACCAATCATGTAGTCATTGGTGAAAACATGCATAAGTGTTGCTAAAAACTCTTTGATTTGGTTATTTCATACAATATAAAAATTTCAAAAAGTAAATTGTTTTTCTATGAAGAGGGATTGCCCAATAATCAAGTGTTGCAGCTATCATTCATCCTCACCTAAAAACAAAACACAACAACTATTCTCCATCCCCAGCTATCATTCATCCTCACCTAAAAACAAAACACAACAACTATTCTCCATCCCCACTGAAAAATAAAACACAACAAATAATTAGTTTTTTGTCTAGCATTTCAAAAGAGTTAAATTTAGCAAACAATCATTAAACTAAAAGTAAGATGTTATAAAGATTAGCAAATAACCTTATATTCACTTTTAAACAGCCACATCATTCATAAAAACTTTCAGAAATTCTCTGGCCTATATAGCAACAGTTGTAACCAACACTTTTGTCCTTCCAAAGGGTACCAAACGAAATGAAAATAAAACTAAAACTAGTAAATAACGAATCAATTTTTTTCTTGATTTAGACAAAAAGATTTTTTTAAGTACTTACTCTAATCAGAAACCCGTGTTGTCTGTTCAGCACAAAATCAAAGATCCATTTTATTACATAATGTCCGCTCAGCTCACATTCCAATATGTCGGTTTGGTTGCACAAAAATTGTGATAGAAGGTAAACATAAATCAAACAATGAAAACTACATCTAACTAGTGGATAAGTAATAAGATAAATTACCTCAGTGAGCTTCCATACAATTGGAATTGATGTGTTATTTTCATACCTCTCAACAGCTCTAAAAATAAACAAGCAGTAGAGTTGTATGCAAACAACATAATAGTCAAAACAATTACTTGGACAAAAAAGATAAAAAAAAATAATAATAATAAAAAAATAAAATCTTAAAAAACAAAATTAAGAACAATCTTACCAGTATCTTTACTATGGGTTCCATGTTAGGTGGTACTATTTTCGACCCTGACTCATTTTTAGATCTTCTACCCAAGACATAATCTAATGAACGCTCGCTTTTCTCTCATACAATTGTGATGCAGCTCACCCGATGCCTTCTCTTGTTCCCACTTAGGTTTGTTTCCCTGATAAACATGTGGGCCTACTCGGGATGGATTCGTACTAAACATTGAACTCGTTTTGCTTCCTCACTTATAACCTTCCAATAAAAGCAACAACCACATTTATAAACTGCAACATAATGATTAATATTATTAAGAGACGTTATATCCTACAAACCTGGAATTCCTTTGATGATGTCCTTAAATTTTTGCAATACAGTCTTCTCCAAAATAAGTAAGCTTCAAGTGGATTTCGCTCATACTCATTGGCCAAGATATTTGGTGTGGCCCTTGCATCTACCTATATTCATAGTCGGTGCCATATAGTTATTACCACGCGAATTTCATGATCTACATCTTGACTTTTGATCAATTTTTACTAAAAAGTTGTTGAGTTGCTGATTTTCCTTTGGATGGATGCCTGTTCATGAAAGTTGGTTGCTTTTTCATGATAGTTTGTTGCTATTCTGGTGCTACTGGGTGTTCATTCATGCTAATTGGGTGGCTGAGAGATAGCTTCCTCCCTTCACATCCAACTTGACCATTGTGCCCTTAGTGTTATTTTAGTGAAATTTAACTGATTTTTTGGTGTTGACCTGTTATTAGCTCAAGGCTCCATATGCACAATTCATACATCATGTGAGCTTGTGCTTATAGTTTTCATAGTGTTGCTTGAAATTAAGACTTCATTACCTCCTTTTTCTCTAGTTGCCTATTTGGGAGCGAAGTAGTTTGTCTATATTAGGGCAATTGAGAGCTGGTCATCACCTAGAACGCCTACTGAGATTCGTCAATTTCTAGGCCTTGCTGGCGACTATCGCATATTCATTCAAAACTCCTTAAAGATAGCTAAGCTACTTACCACCCTTACACAAAAGGGTGTGGCTTTTAGTTGGGAAGGAAAACAAGAGAATGCGTTCCAAATGCTAAAGAAAGCCTTATGTAGCGCACCTGTATTATCCCTCCCCGAAGGGATAGAAGATTTTGTGGTGTACTGTTATGCATCCAACCAAGGGCTTGGCTATGTTCTTATGAAACGAGGAAAGTCCAACACCTATGCCTCAAGGCAGCTTAAGACACATGAAGTCAACTACACTACCCATGATCTTGAGTGAGGAGCAGTTGTCTTGTAAGGTACGAAAAGTA